TGGAGAGGACTGTGGCAGATCCAGGAGCACAGAACATTCTGAAATTGGGGCTCTGGGCTCAGGTTTTTATTTACTTCCGTGGGGTGGGGTTCAGGGGGTGGGTCATGGGCAATGAAACAAAGAGAGGTCTAAAAGAACATTAATCCTTTGACCAGTAGCATTCATTGATTACTTACCACTCAAAGCCCTGTGCTTGGTACTCTGAGGGGGGGCAGAAGAGTAGAAGAGCAGGTTAAAAGGTCATGGAAATACAGAGAGAGGATCACGCACTAGGAAGCCTCCCCAGTCCCCTGTCCCGCCCCGCTCCTGGGAGTCCCGCAGTCTGTCTGCTCACCGCCCCTCCCCCTCCAGCCTAGGCCTCAGCACACCTCCCTGGGACCAACTGCAAACTTCTTGTGGGCAGAAACTCTCTCTTTACTGTGGATCCAGGGTCAGGAGCTTAAATTAAGAAACTAACATTTTAATGAAGTGAATAAAGACATTTTTATACAATACATAGCATCCTGGGGACTCTTAGCGTCAGGATCTTTGGAACCTTCAAGTAGGCTCAACTTCTTTATTTTGTAGATGGAACGCTGAGGTCAAGAGACAAGGGGACGCTTCACGTCCTGGGTGGCGTGGAGCAGGAGGATGTGAGACTTCATCAGGCTACTTAGAACAGCACTGCATGCAATTTAAAACTTATGAATTGTTCACTTCTAGAACTTTCCATTTAATATTTCAGACCACAGTTGACCAGGGTAACTGAAACCTGGGAAAGCAAGACCACAGATAAGGGGAGGCTACTGTGATGATTTTTTCTGTCAGTGAATTGGATTCCTTGATATGATCTGGGACAATGTCCCCTATTATATTAAGCTTTTTTACTCTCCTAATCAAATTCCAATATTCTTACTTAATTTCTACTTCCATGAACTGTGAAATACTCAGATAATTGTATTAAAATTCCTTAAGTGTGATTAAACTTTTAATCAAATTCTTCTCATATTAGGTTTTACCTTATAAATTAATTTTGTTGCTTTTGTATGATGCATCAATGTTTATGACTAGCACAGATTCTCTGTAGATTGTGCCATTTACTTTTACATAATATTTCACTTTGTCTTGCCCTTGAATTCCACTTTAACCTTTGTGTTAACATAGAAATTGTATACAATAATTGCCTATACAAATAATTGTCTATAAAAATTATTGGACCGCACTTCCAACCTCCAGAATTGCAGATGAGAAGTCTGATACTAGTTGGATTCTCTTTGCTTTGTTGGTACCTTGTAGCCTTTGCCTGGAAGCTTCCGACATTGCCTGTCTACCCTGGAAAAGCAGATTAATTTGTTTTACCAGTTTATGCCAAGACATGTGTTTTCTTTCATGCATATGCCTGGGACTTGGCAAACTTTTTCAATGTAGAAATTCACGTATTTCTTCAGTGCTGAGAAAATGTCTCCTATTCTGTCTCTGTAGCTTCCACGTGCTCCCCTTTTGAGCTCATTGTTTGGAGAGGCACCATGGAAGTGCTCTTCAGAATACTTTTCCTACTTGGAGTGTGTAGCAGACGACTTCCCACGGAAGCAAGCGGAAAGGGCAGGAAGCATTCCCGCAGGTGACAATTTTCATTTCATCGTATTTAATTTTGCGTTGTGAAATACCTCTCCCGTGCCATCAGGTAGAGCGCCAGTTTAGCTCTTCTTGTCACTGTCCTTTGTTTACTTCGATACAACTTTAACACAATTTTTAACTGGCCATATTGCTTTGAGCTCTAGAGGTATTTTTTTGTGCTTCATTTTTATTTCCTTGAAGGTCTTCATTATGTCAAAAAATTAAATTTTATGAGAATGCAGTAGGAGTAAACTGTTTTCGTCTGCACAGCATGTCCCTTTGGGGAACTGCCTCCATTGGTGGACCCGCTAATCACAAGACCATACCCCGGTGACTGCTGGTGAGAGCACAGGGGCTGTAACGGGTGAATCGATTTTCTGTGAGTAAACACTGAGACTGGAGGCCACATGTGCTCAGCCTAGAGGGACTGAGAAGCAAAGCTGTGGCCTTCCCAGCTCCAGAGAGGGTGATGTGTTCTCTTGCCTTGTCTCATATGGTACAGAATTCCTCAAATATAAGTCAGTGCAGATCTGGGGGCATCTGAAGCAGATGAATGACCACTACTGCCCTTCAGGTAACATGTCAGGGCCATTCAGACCCAAGCCTGTCTGAGTTGGAGATTTGGGTCCCAATGAGAATGATATACTTGCTGTGAGGGACTCATCCTTGAAAAAAGAGAATGTCCTCTGTGCTGTGCAGAAACTTTTTAGTTTGAGGTAGTCCCACTTATTTATCCCACTGCTTTTGTTGCCTGTGCTTTTGGTAGCAATTCCAAAAAAATACTGCCAACACTAACGTCGAGAAGTCCTCCCCTCTGTTTTCTTCTCGGAGTAGCTGTCACCTCCTCCGGCCTTCACTGCCTGGATTCAGGAGAGAAGGACATTCGCCGGTCAGCCCTCCCGGGGCCTTTTCTGTGGGTGCCCCCACCCACGCCTCTCGTGCCCCCTTGGAGGGGAGAGAGCCCGAGGCCTGCGTGCCCTCCCTGCTTCTCAAGGCCAGGCTGAGTGCTGAGTGCCCCTTGTTTTCCCAGGACAGCTCCCTGACGTGTTCAAGGTCAGGGCCTCCGCTCAGTCCAGCCGGGGCGAGCGGCTGCCTGCACGTGCTCACCTGCCGCCTGCAGAGGCTTGCTCGTGCCCTCTTTGGGGGACACCCGAGACGCTGGCTATGGGGGGGTGAAGTGCGGCCGGGGCACAGGAGCTAGCTGGGTGGGCTTGCGGGCGGCGTGCTGCCTGAGCTTCAGAGCAGGCCTGCTGGTGGAGCCGGTGAGGTTGGAACCCATGGCCCTCTGTTGGGTTCTGCACCCCGTGGGGCCAGCCTCACCCCTGTTCTTTGCTCTTAGCTGTCATCAGAGCAACCAGCTGTGCGGATCCCCTCGGCGTTCTGGGTGGGGCGAGAGACGAGTGGGCCGTTGGGGTGGTGCCCTGCGCAGCTGGGGCTGCTGGGCACTCACCGGGCTCTCCCTCTCCCCAGGCGAGAACCTGGGCCGTTCTGGGGAAGGGGTGATGCAGGTCATTTAAAGCTGTTCTTTTCACTCTTTTCACTATTCTCCACAATTAGCCTCTGTTTTCACTTATCCTAGGAAATTTTGGTTGCTCCCAGGTTTTGACAATTATGGATAAAGCTGCTATAAATCTTTTGCATGCAGATTTTGGTGTGGACATAATTTTCAGATTAGTGTCTAAAAATATGAGTGCAGTTGCTAAGCTGTATATATAGTAAAACTATTGATCTTTTTTAAGTTTCATCCTTACCCGAGGGTACGTTTATTGATTTGAGAGAGAGAGAGAGAAACATCGATGGGTTGCCTCCCTACGCGCCTCAAGCGGGGATCAAACCCACAACCTTTTGGTGTGCAGGACAACACTCTCACCAACTGCGCACCCGACCAGGGCAAGACTTTATCATAAGTAACTGCCACACTGTTCCAAAGTGCCGGTACCATCTTTTATTCCCAATGAGGATGCTCTGCTTCCTCATCAGCATTTGGTATTGTCATCTTTTTAAGATTGTAGCCATTCTACCAGGTGTATGGAGGTATCTCATTATGGGTTTGGAACTCAGAAGTGTTTTAGATCATAATTCAGTTGAAAAGTGTTTGCTCTTCTGCTTTGGGCCTCTCCTGCACATGTTCAGCTTGGGGATGAGCGGAGGGCTCGTGCCCATTCATATACAGTCTTGGTTTATCGTCTCGTCCAAATCTCTGCTCTGCCGGATTTCCCCTTACACTGTCGGGGTCCCCAGGGGATGGTCTTCTGGCTAGAAAGGTAGGTTTCTAGCCACACGCCCGCACAGTTACGTGCCACTCAGGCCGCCTCTGGGGCAGAGCGGTCAGAGGGAAATATAACGGAGCTTCCCGTCACCCTTACTGGGCCACACGAACCCTGTCATCGTCATTTGTCCAGAAAGAAGAGCTTGTAAAACTCAGATGTTTAGGTGCATGTACTTTTATTAGCGCAACTGCACTGCAGCTCCACAGCCGGGCCTGTCCTCAGGGCAGAGCAGGAAAAGAAAAAGACACAGAGTGACCATACCCGACTCACATGCACATTCTCTGGCTCTCAGACACCCACTTTTCTGCTTCCCTGGCCAGAAAGACAGGTCCCCCCATGGTTTTGCAGCCTGTACCTGCTGCTCAAAAGTTGGGAGATAAAAGGGAGAAAAATCCATGAGAAAAATCACCCAGTTATAGGTTATTCCTTAGATTCTGGTTCCTATCTCCAATTCACCTGCTATGTTTAACTTTTTACTTCCTTTAGGTAGTTGCTTCTGGTATTTTTTCTAGGGTTGTAAGTTTTAATCAGTGGAAGAGATGGGCTGTAGTGGATTCACTTCAACTTGGTTAGTACCTAAAGACTCTCCATCCTCAAACTGCCATCACTCTGGCCAGTGGGTGCCCTTCAAGCTGATTCCTTTTCATTTGACCCCATTAAAATTTATAAGCTCTCTTCCTAATACTTAAAATGACAATTCTGTTTTATTAATAATATAAATACTATATGTATACTATATGTATATTTTTTGTTCTACAGGAAAGAGACTAAAGGTATTTTCTTATTTTCCACATGAATGGAAGAAATAAATACCACAATGAGTTTTCTGGTTCTTATTTCAACAAAGTTTAGAGGCTTTAATCCCTTAAATTAGTAACTGATGCCATGCAATACATTCGCTAAACCAACAGAGAGTATGAAGCTGAGAACAATGAGATGTCGAAAGAAAGGAAAGATTTATTTTCTTTGGGGTCTTTAAAAGAGTTCTAAAGAAAAATTCCACCAATAATCTATGAAGTCATTGTGAAAACTTTTCAAATGTTGCAGTTGTAGCTGACGGTGGACTTAAGGCTTTGCCCCAGGTCTGTTAGTGGACTATAGGTAGAGTTTTATTGAGACGCCATCAGGATTGTTCTCAGAGAGGGGAACCCTGTTTCTGTCCTCTTGCAATGAATGTTTGTAGGTCTGAGTGTTGATTCGTGTAGGATTTTATCTGCTTCCAGGCAAATGAGTTTTCTTCCCTTGGGAGAATGCACTTCTACTGTTGAGGAGCAAGGACTGGAGCGCAGAAGATCCCAGACACAATCCCCTTGACTCGAAAGGTTACTGGTCGTCAGTATCGGGAACTGCTGCTCCCTGGAGGTCAGGTTGGTTTTGAGTCACAGGAATCTCAAAGCAGCTCAGTGCGTTTTCTTTTCCAAATAGATGTTCGGTTTTCCTTGAAAAGTAAGGGTTGCTCTGCTATCTCCAGCTTGCCCAAGAGTTTATAGTTTCCTCTGTTGTTTGTGAGACTTTTTCCTATTGTGAGACAATGGGAATTGAGAGACTGGGAGTGGAGAATCCAAGTGTAACTGCACAGAAATTTCATTTCTTTAATATGACCTTTTCTCCTTTCTTTCCTTTTGAATTAAAACTGGCCTCATCCAACACCCTCGCTCACCTGCCTCCTACTCCCTCCCACGACTGCTCTCTAGTCATTAAGTCCTCAGGACAGTGAGGTTCTGTCTTAATAAAATAATCTTAGGAACAAAGCCTCGGGTCTATTGACCACAGAGACAGTGTTTGGATTAAACTAGAGATAACATTTGGCCTCTGTTGTGTTTCAGCTCCAGGCCCAGAAAAGCAGTGACACTGGAGGAACTGACACCACGGCTGAGGTCAGGCCGGATGCACTGATCAACCATGGTGCTGAGCAATCAGTAGGGGCACTGCCCTGGCTCCCCTAGTCACCGGGACTAATGATCTTTCCCTTTGTAGGCCTGATGAATTTCTATTAATTGTAATAATATTTAAGGATATAAAATGTAAGCTTAGGTCTTCAATTAAATAAGTCATAAGTTAAAACATTTAGTATTTATAAATTTGGTTCTTGTAAACTTCAGGTAATATTCCATTTATGTGGATTGATAGTTTCCCCGCTTATACCATCTGAGTCCTATATTACCTGGTCTCCCCTTTACTTCTTTCCTGTTAAATAATAACCAGGTTATTACAATGACATCAGTTTTATTTTTACAATGTTCAGGTAAAGAAAGCAGTTCATATGTACACTTGAAGGCCTATTGTAAATATTTAGATAGATTTTTATACATGTGAAGTAAGGTCCAGGTAACTGTTTTCTCTTTGGGGGGATCAAAGTCTCTCTATTAGAGCAGCTTTCATCCCCTCACTTTTAAAACTAATTAATTAATTATAATAAGGTATAATTAACATAGAACATTATTTTGGAAATGGCAGCTTCTTTCAGTAGAGGGCAAATACCAGAGCTGTCGGCAGCCAGCATCCCTGGCAGCTGGAGAAATGAAGTCTTCAGTCCTGATGGGGCTCTAGGTGAGGCGCCACAGTGAGATGCATAGTTTGCAGCCTTCCTGGGCACCTCTGAATGTTGGCCTGTTAAATCTAGAGGACTCTCTGCAGACACTGTGGCTAACTAGAGTGGTCAAGACTTGTGCTGTCCAAGAGACTGGAAGAAGACTATGGGCAGAAATTGATTTGCCAAGATTAGACTCTATTTTCTTTTTAAATATATGCAATGACTTATTAAGTAGTAACTTGGCTGGACTGAGGAGGTATCAGTTTTGCCGATGAAAAACGGCTTTGAAGCCCCAGTTTACAAATCCTCACCCAGAATGGGCGTCTAGAAGGAGGGTAGAGTCTTGACATTAACTGATGTCTTGTACAAAGTCATGCACAAATAAGAGACTTGCAGTGGCCCTTATTACCTGGTTAAGAGAGAATTGAGGCATTTCAGAAAGGTTTGAGTGTATCAAAGGGAAGACGGAGGAGGGAAGGAGAAGTGTGAAGTGCTCCTGAAGGAGAGGGTCTGGTGACAGAAAAGTGTATATAGGAGATTCTGAGTATTTGGAGACATGGAAAAAAGGGTGTGTGTGTGGGGGGGGCGTTAAAAATCCAACACTTACTCAGCTTGTGTTTTCTTGTCTTTAAAGCATACAGAGTAATAATACTGTTGGGAGAAACATTTTATATTCAACAGCGACACTCTTGGAATGTTGCATAATTTGCAGCCTTAACTAAAAATGGCAAATGTTCTCACATGGATGCTGTTAAAGAACAAAACTGAATCAGGTAAATCTGAAGATCTAATTGGCTTTATTAAGTGATTCACGAATTAGGCAGCATCTCACTTAGCAACTAGAAGGGCTCTCCAAGGGGTTGAACAAAATAGAAGATTTTTATAGGAAGAAGGGTGGAGCACCTATTAACAAAAGAAAATAAAGGATTGTTTTTCCATCAGGACATCTTCTTTTGGGGGGAATGGCTTTTATCATGCAGATTACCTCTTCTTTCTATGGGGGGGGGGGAAATGGAGAGGATCCAAGTGCCAGATTACCTCATTGGTGTTGACCAGAAAATTTCGGACTGCCTGAGTAAGATTCGATTTCAGGGAGAAGCGGAACCAGCAACTCAGTCAGGTATTAAATCTAGATTTAGTGTCATGGGCTTTTTAGTACAAGTGGTGCCATTTTGGGCCTTGATCTTCTCTTTAATAATATTAGGGAGCAGTGTATTCTAGAAAAAGAAATCTGGAAAAAAGAAGCTAAGGGCATCTTCTGCAAATTCAAGTCTAAGGTAAAGTGTCAACGGCAACAGAGAAGGGAATTGTGAATGTAAAACATTACATTCTCTATATTTTATTTGTTAAAAATTTCCATTGTCTCTGTCTGTTTTAAACTTGCTTGTCCCTCCCCCTCTCAGTAATCTTCAGAGCCCAGCTCTTGCCCCAGAAACCATGAATTCTGCTCGGGGCTGGTGAGAGGAGAGAATGTTCCCTTCTCCCGCGTCCGCTGAGGAAGAGATAATATCCAGTTTGATACAACAATCCTCATGAAGATTGATGCTAACAAAGAAGTTTTGTAAACCACCCAGACCTCAAAATTTGTTGCTATGTCCTCTGAAATTAATCTCAACCTCCACGAAGTCTGAAATTGCAGTTGGTTGCCACATTTATAATATTTGTAATATTTTATCTTTTCTTAAGACAAAAAGCCAGAAAGGGATGGCCCGGCTCTTCCAACTCCTTTCATAAAATGGAACAAACAAGTAAAATGACTACAGGTTTCTTATCTAAACCAAAAGAAGTGACTATTTCTTAATAATGGCTATTAAGAAAAATGGACTCAACAGTATCGTCTTACTCTCGCCTGCTGTCACCCGCCTCCTCCGGCTCGGGGAGGACAATGGGCTCCGCTCAGGACCAGCTCAGCCACCTCCCATCCCTGTCCTCAGGGGCCTCGGGCCTTGGGGAAGTTAACTCCCCATTTGAAATTCCCTTTGTTGTTTAGAACAGGCCGTGGAACAAAGTGGTGCTTGATGAATGTTAATTGACCCCCCCCTCCCGTTTTTCCCCTCTTTTCCTTTTTCCTCCCATTTCTATTCCCACCTCACACAGGACAAATGGGTTTTTGGGGAGTTTCCTTGTGTGTGTGTGTTTTTTAATATGTCTTTATTGAGTCAGAGAGGAAGGGAGAGAGAGAGAGAATTGAAACATCAGTGATGAGAGAGTCGTTGATCAGCTGCCTCCTGCACGCCCCCAACTGGGGATCGAGCCCGCAACCCGGGCATGTGCCCTGACCGGGAATCGAACCCCAATCTCCTGGATCTTAGGTCAACGCCCAAGTCGGGCAAGGACAAATGGTTTTAATGTGCTTCTTTGCCTTACTGGGAAGGAAGTCACATTTTTGTTATGGGTGTTGGCCAGAATCCCTTTCTCCCAAAGGGTGTCTAGCCGGGATATATGTTAAGTGTTGCCTGTCTGCCAAGGCAACTTCAGATAAGTTTCCTCCCTGTACACTCCACTGACCCAAAACTATAAGCTAATAGTATCAGAGTTCAGCCCTGCTGCAAAAATTATTTCATTTTCATGGATCAGCCACAGACTCCTGAGACCCTATAGCCACGGGGTTGCATGTCCTGATCTTCGTTATGGAAAAAAAAAACTGGCCCATGGAACTCAGATAATATAGGACTGTCAGTACTGGGATCCTGATCTTCCTTTGGGATACTAATTTTGTGTTAGGGGGCCAGCAAGGGAAGCCTGGTTTCAGGCATCTTGATGAATTTACCCCCATGTTCATTTCATTGGTATCTCTTCCCGGCTGTTTTCTGCCAAGATAGATGTAAGAGGCTGGCGCTGCTGCAGCGGTGGGGTGGCAGCAGGTCTGGCATGTGCCAGCTGGATTTGGCTGCGCCGGTACGTGTAGCACTCACGCAGTTGCCTCTTGTCTCTCGGCTTCAAGTTCAGGCTCCTCTACTCGTCTTTGAGCAGCGGTGCGTCCTCACTGGATGGTGCCTCTGGTGGGAATTCACGTTTTGTGGGGCTGCGGGCTGGGCTTTGTGGTTGGTCAAAGCCTCGGGCGGTGCTCTGCCGTCAGGTGACAGATGTTAAATTCATTCCATAATATACACATATATCAAATCATTACGTTGTGCACTTTGAACTAATACGGTGTTATGTGTTAATTATGTCTCAATAAAACTGGTGGTGAGGGGGGAAGAATGTGACAGCACTAGTTTGCCAAACCCATTTTTTTAAACTCTGAGATCAAAGCTTTTTCCACTAGTTCATGCTCATAAATTGAAGACTACACTCATGAATGGAGGACTAATGCCTTTGTGATTTGTCTCTACTTAAACTTTAAGCATTTCCTTGATTTATGAATGTTGACAACAAATTTATTAATATTGGCTACTCTTCTGACTTTATCACAATAGAAATAAAAATAATTTTGTATCATATTAAAGATGTTGCATATATCTTGAGATATCATTTATGCTTACCACTAGTTTGAAATTGTACTAGTTATCAGACCTGCTTCTTAAAGTTATCACTTAAGACACTAATAAATATTTATAACTTTATTTCAATATTAAAAAAGTAATGGGGTCATGTAAAAAGACACAGGATCTAGCTTGAAGAAATTTCTATGAGCTAAAGTTATGAGAATTTGAGTATCAAAATAAAGTCAAATATAACAAATTGAAACACATTGAATGAGTGGAAAGACATGATTGTCTGATAATATCTAGAGATGGGATAACCAGAAAAACTCCTATGTCACTATTTGAGGCAGCCACTAAGCAAACTATTTCCTTTGATAACCAGTAACTGACTTGAATAAATTAAGTATTTATCCTGCCTCTCCAGTAGGAACTGTTTTTCCAGTAACTAAATATCTCTAGCTGATAAGGGAAAGTTCCATTTTCCTGAGTTGTATCCTGCAACTCCTAAAGAATTTATTGACTCAGGCGAGGACTATCATTTGTGTTAAAACCACTAAGTGTGTGACTGGCATGGTAGCAGACATTCGTATAGGCAAAGTAGCACCATGTAGATTACTTTGAACACAGAGGGGGAAACACACTAAATAAAAAGATCAGGCAGTCACCGCTTTAATTCAGTTGTGAGTCCGAATATTAAGTGATAGCCACATATTAAGCGAGTCCTGATTGGTTGCAATATAAAGCACACAGCATCACCTCTGATGTGATTTGGTCAAAAATAATAACCTGAATCAATAAAATCATTAGCTAACTTCCTATTTGCATGGTATATAGATGAACAAACTAAAGAGAGAACAGAGAGGGGGCCACCGTAAGAACAACTGGCCGAATGAATTCAACAAGTCCGCATGTGACAAGTCAGTGCGTGCTTGGCTGACCGAGGCTGAAGGAGAATAAAGCCACGTGCTTTGGGCATGCGTGCTTTACAGGACATTTGGCTCTATGATGAGCAAATATACATAATAAATCTGAAAAATCCTTCAAAGCAAATCAGCCCATCCAGAGGAGCACTGGAAGCGATCCAAATCTAAGTAGATCAGCGAAGCACGAAGACATAAAATGGTACAGAGAGCCTCTCCTCCCACTGAGTCCCACGCTCACAAAGAATTAACACTGAGTTCTAGTTTGTTCTGCTTGGCATAGCCCTTGTTTATGCTCTTTGGCCCCAGCATAATTATTAGCAACGCTCTCCTTTATTCTTGAGTGTGTCCTGTTTACATTAATTACGGATGAATTACTTGGTCACCTCAGATCTTGCAGACTTTGAGGGAACAGTTAACTCATGCCTTACACAAGTTGTTCCAGAAGAAAGGGGAAATGTAAAAGCTGCCCTGATGGTTTTAGGAGGTTATATATTATTTTGATTTCAAAAACAGATACAGTAAAGAACAGAAAACTATAGGCCATATATCCTCTGTACGTGTGTGCCAAAATTCCATATTAAATTATAAATAAATTTAATAATATGTAACATCACTAATCATCAGAGAGATGTAAATTAAAACTACAGTGAGGTATCGCCTCACAGAATGGCCATCAGTAAGTCAACAATCAAGCGCTGGCGAGGGTGGGAACGCAGACGGGGGCAGCCACTGTGGAAAACAGAGTGGAAGGTCCTCATAAAATTAAATATGGAGCTGCCATTTGACCCAGTGATCCCACTTCTGGGAATATATCCTAAGGAACCCGAAACACCCATTAGAAAGAATATATGCGCCCCTGTGTTCATAGCAGCACAGTTTACAATAGCTAAGATCTGGAAGGAGCCCAAGTGCCCATCAGTAGATGAGTGGATGAAAAAGCTGTGGGACATTCACACCATGGAATACTACGCAGCTGTAAAGAAGAAGGATCTTGTACCCTTTGGGACAGCATGGATGGAGATGATCCCAAGTGAAATAAGCCAGGCAGAGAAAGACAAATATTGTATGACCTCACGTGTATGTGGAATCTAATGAACACAATAAAAAATGAAGAATAAAATAGGACCAGAGGCATGGAAACATGGAACAGACTAGTGAATCTCAGAGGGAAGGG